TTTTCCATGGTGTTTGGACTGCGATGATCATACTGTGTATGGGAGCAGAACAGGAATAGGTGGGCGTCTAGTGGTGAGTCTCCGGCGGACCGTGGAGCTGTTTTGCTTGTGTGGATATTTTGCTGGTAGCTACTTGGGATAGTAGCATTTGGTTGAAATTTTCTTTGGTACACTTTAACCCTAGTCAGACTAGAACTTTGTATATTTATATATTCTAGATCCTATATTTATATACTTGTTCTATCTGTCTGGAGTTTCTAGTGTGCGATGCCGTGTGTAGTGACTAGCCGGGTCGTTACATGAAGTGTTAATTCAGATGATATAATATTAAGAATGAATGAAAAATTTGGACGACCTTTTTGTCCAAACCCTAAAAAAAATTCTAGTAAACTCTAAATCTTTATTAATATATTAAAAATAATAATACACATCAATCAACCAATTGAATTATATTGGATTGGTCTTTTAACATCAAAATCCATAATTCAATATGAACTTATTGAATTTACCTTTTCTCAATCTGATCCAAATCAATGATCTAAATCAATCCAAAAATTTTAATTTGAATATATTTTAAATAAGTGATGTGTCTAATAAAAAGTGGAAAAAAAAAATGAGATGTCTTATATATATATATATATATATATATATATATATATGTAAAATAATATAACTCGTAGTATACTTGTATGATCACAAATATAGATTATAACTACTATTTATTATGGAAAGCAAAAGCAAGTAGATATGAAAAGACTAAGATAGTATTACCGGCTAGCCCTGGAGCCACCTTTTCAATTTTGCAACTTTCACTACTATCATGAGATAAGTATGGTCGGTTAAGGTGTTCAATAACTTGTAATAAGCTTGTCGCCAAGTACGATTGACCAGAATTGAGCAAAAAATTCCCCCAAAGCCTGTAATAAATCCAAATGCCATGCTCACATAAAATGAATGCTTAACAAGGAAATCTTCATCTTCATCAAATTCAACTGTTAGTTCGTGTGGTGGCTTCTCTACAACACACAATTTTTCAAGTGGCTTCCCACAAAGATTAGGATTATCTTCATAACTTGATGCATCAAAACTTTGTAATTGCGTGCCAATTGGAATTTCCCCAGATAAATGATTATGTGACAAATCTAACATGCTAAGCCGGTCAATTTGAGTAAGGCTAGAAGGAATTGGACCAAATATCTTGTTTCTTGATAAGTCGAGAAATTCAAGAGAGGTTAGACTTCCAATATTTGAGGGAATTTCTCCTGTCAAATTGTTTCTTGACAAATTTAATGAGATCAGTTCCAACAATTTCTCAAATTCTTTTGGAATTTCTTCAGATAAGTGATTGCTTGAGAGATCAATGCTTTTCAAAAGCAGTAGCTCATTATTCAAGAATATTTGTTCTGCACCTTTCCATGTCAATAATGAATACAAATCATAGTAGTTCATGTATTGTCCCACAGACCTGATGCTAACAGAATACCCCTGATGTGTATAATCTATTAAGGAAGTCTTCCGAGACATTGCAGTAAAATTTTTGAAGCATTTGGGAATTCTTCCAGATAGATTGTTCAATGAGAGATCCAAGAGTTGAATGCCTTTTAGATAACAAAGTTGTAATGGTAAACTTCCAGAGAAGTGATTCTTTCTCAAGCTTAAGATTTGCAACTTCTGTAATTTGCCCCCGATCCAAGAAGGGATAAGTCCTGATAATCTGTTTTCCCCCAAGTCAAGCATTACTAACTTTGTACAACTACTTAAGGAGACGGGGATCTCCTTTGTTAAGCTATTGCTACTCAATATTAATGCTTGAAGTTCAAGAAGCGATCCCATTGAAGTAGGAAGCATTCCTGAAAAATTATTGTGACTCAAATCTAAATAAGCTAATGATGATTTGAAATGGTTCCAACAATCTGGAATTTGTCCAGATAACTGATTATTTGAAAGGTCCAGCTGGCCTAATGCTTCAATTGAATCATTAGCACACAAAAATGAAAAAGAATCTGAAAAATTATTTTGGGACAGATCAAGAAATGCAGATCCTCTAAGAAATGGTGGAATAGGGCCTTCAAACTGATTTGATGCAAGAATTAGAAAGTGAGGAGTAATCTCTGTGGGGAAATTAGGAATTGTTCCTTTGAGATTATTAAATGAAATATTCATGCTTGTCATTCCTTGTATTGCCACTTTAGACCAAAACCATTCTGGAACAAAATCTGATATTCCACAATTAGAAATGTCAAGAATTTCAATGTCATTTTGTGTTTGGAACCATTTAGGAAAAGTTGGACCTAACTTGCAAGATCTCAATCTTATATAAGCCAATTGAAAAGATGGGGCAAAATTTTGGCTAAATTCCAAAGCCAATGAATTGTCAGATAATTCTAACAACTTCAAATTTGACATGTTGATAAAATGAGAGTCACCGATCACCCCTCCCAAAGAGTTTGAATTCATTTCCAGAGTCTCCAGCTGAGTAGGAAATCGAATATCTTCAGGAATCTTTCCATTTAACCTATTTCCATACAGAGATAAAGTTTTTAAAGATGTGAATATTGAGAAGTCGGGTAGAGTGCCCTTGATTTGATTCATACTTAGTTCTAACTCTTGCAGTGAGGATCTAGCACATCCTGACAAGTGATGGATTATCACCGGAAGCTCTTCATTCAAACTGTTATTTGATAGGTGCAAGGAACGAAAACTACATGTGCTCCCAAATGTTTTTGGAACTCCACCTTCCAAAGAGTTTGATTCAATTGATAGAGATTCTAATTGAGATGGCAATTTAATATCATCATTTATCTTTCCACTCAATCGATTCATAGAAAGATCCAATGTTTTCAAAGAAGAGAACATTGAAAAGTCAGGTAAAGAGCCAGTTATTTGATTATAACTCAGAAACAATTTTTGCAATGAGTATCTAACACAGCCACCAGACAAATTGTGAACAATTGATGGAAGGTCTCCAGTCATATTGTTTCCATATATATTGAAATATTGTAAGGTGCATATATTCATGAAGGATTCCAAAACTCCACCCTCGAGTCTATTAGAGGAGAGATCAAGCCACTCAAGAGAATGCATCTTCATTCCAAAATGATTTGATGTGGGAGTCTCGAAGAGGTTATTACCACAGAGGTCAAGCTCAATAAGATTGGAACTGATATTTGATACCAATTGGAATATCATGGATGATGTAAAAGTGTTCCAAGAGAGATCGAATACAGAAAGCGAAGTAGAATAATTGAATCTTGAAGGGTTCAATGAGTGGATAAAATGATCAGAAAGGCTACAATCAGATAAACTTAATTCTCTAAGTTTTGGCAACATACCAATGATTTGCAGCCAGCTATGAGAATTGTTAAGATTAGAGATCAAACTTAAGTCAAGATGAGTCAAGGAAGTGAGATTAGAGAGCCAAAGACCTTCATCATCGATTTTGAGAGCCCCACCATATCCAAGATAAAGTTTCTCCAAGTGCATCAAGTTCCCAAGTTGAGAAGGTATATTTCCTTCTAAAGAATTGCCTCTGAGATCAAGATGTTGCAACAAGGAGAGATTTCCAAGTTGATAAGGAATTGAACCCTCCAGGGAATTACCACCTAGATTTAAGTAATTCAAATGTGAAAGAGACCCAAATTGGCTTGGAATTCTTCCACCAAAATCAGAATTTGACAAGTCAAGGTATCTCAAATTTTTTAGAGAACCAATGAAATCTGGAACATGACTACCTTGAAATTGATTCCAACTGAGGTTCAAAACATTCAAGTGCTGCAACTCAATTAGCGATTTGTTGATATTGCCACTGATGAAGAACTCGTCCATTGCAAACCAATCACCATGAAGATCAAGCATTAGTACGTGGCCAGTTATGTTACTACAGACAATACCTTTCCATTGGCAACAATCAGCACTTGTCCAAGATGAGAGCATGCCATATTTATCAATAAGGCCAACCTTTAAGTGGAGAAGTGCCTCTCTCTCCCTTTGCATGCATCTGATGACCCCTTTTGCACAAACAAGGTTCACCTGAAATAGCAAACACATAAAAATTATGGCAGGAACGAATTTCACATAAAGTTGCATCATCGTTGAGATTGTGTGTGACAAGTGATGAAAATCCACAAACTGTTACCAATAGCCCCTGTATAGCCCCGTATATATAATATACTCCCAAGGTCTAAATCTTAAAAAACAAAAAATTCTTGTCCAAAAACTAACCAAATTAATTAATTAAAGAAGACTTGGAAAGGTAAGCAGTCATTTTTTTCTTTTTCGCGATGCATTGAATTTTCTATTTTTCCATCTTATATAGATATTTGAATTTTATTGGCCTTTAATTTTAAAAATTACATTATATATTATCGATGTCATATTATATGTGCTAAATTTTAGTTAATATTAAGTGAAGATAGTAAGACTGGTACATAAGTAAATAACTGTGAATAAACTTCTTTAAGGGCATTTTTTCTTTTCTTCACATTTTATCTATAAGAAATTAGGAATTGAATTCGTATCACGAGATTATTCCCTCATGTTATTCAACCAACTAGGTTCAATTATTTTCACTTAATGATAAATAAAAATATGACATTAATTAAATTCAAATTATATATATTTTTTTTTACACAGCATAACAACAATAATCATAAAACGTCACAAATATTATGTCTTCAGCAATCAACATAGTAGGTTAATAGTCAACATATCACCGACTAACAATATTAAACGATCAACTAATAAGACAATAAAATATATAAATTTTTGAAAGCTTAATACTAAAATAGAAAATTTTAATAGCTGATGAAAAAATTCACAAAATTGCAAAATATAGATAGCAAAAAAATACAATTAAGTCTGTATTTTAAATCTCAACCATTTATTAGTTTTATTTTTATAAAGCTTTTTTTTCAAACATTAAAACCTACTAAATACTATAATCAAAAAATTCAAATAAAGAGTTTTAATTTTTTTTATTATTTTTTCTTCTAAATTCATATTTTTTATATTTAATATTTGGAATTTGTAACAAAAGAAGATAAAACTCAAAATTTATTATTTTTATTATAAATACCTTAAACTTGAATTGAGGCTCAACTGATTTTTTTCATTTTTTTCTAAATTACTTTTTCAAATATTAAAACATACTAAAAAACGAATTTTTGAAATAACTTTTATTGTTACTATATTACTTTTTTATATTCAAGTGTTTTTACATTAGATTTAAATTATTTTAATTTAACCATTATTTTAGTTTTTTAGTGTTCCATTTCCCCTGCAAATCACATTTGCTTTTTGTAGTTTTATAAATTTGAAGGTTATTGCCTCTGAAATAGTCAAATATGATATACTTAGTCTATTAGTTTTCAATGTTATTCATGTCTCATTCATGTAGTCTCCAGACTATTCCAAGTCCTCCTCCCCCAACCCCAAGTCTCAATGTAGTCTCCGGTCAGTCTCCGCCTTCTAGATACATCACGAATAGATTGCCATGTATTTATTTATTTATTTATTTATTCATTTTACATACTTAGAATGCCATGTTTTATTTTTTAACTTGGCTTAATATATATATATATATATATAACACTTAATAATTTATATTTTATATTAAATTTAAATAATTTAATTGTTAAATTAAAATTTTTTAATGCATAAATACAGTCTATAAATTTGTAAAAGATTTGAAAAATTATTTAATATTTTATTACATTAATTTAAATTAATGTATAAAATATTTTTATAATTATTCTTTCAATTTGAATTGATGAAACGAATTATCAAATAAATTTTAAATTTTTTAAAAAATTTGCATACTTGATCCATGTATTAAGAACTTTTAGTTTAACGGTTGGATTATTTAAATTTATTGTAGAACATGGGTTATTAAGTGGAATAAATTTAGATACATTTTGAAATGACCCGCCGTGGTCCCTACACTCAGTGGAATCACACTACATACCAGTGGACTAAGAAAAGATATTAAAACTGGATAACTCATACATACAGGTATATATAAAAATAATATTTACCATGTTTCTATTTACAAAATATAACACCATATATGTACAATCATCCCAAAATAATATCACCCTAGTGTTGGTCAAGCACACCTAGTCAAACACTCCAACACTAACTACGACACTAGGACAAAACACTTGATCTCGTCAGCAATCGCCACATCAACTCCAACCTAACCCTGACCTGCTCCCACATATTATGATCATCGCAGTCCATCCACATGAATACAGAAGGGTAAGCTAGAGTTTAATGAACAACCATACCAGCATAAGAATAATTATCTATGGTACGTCAAGTCATCAAATCATGAAGTCAAACATCATATGCTTCATCATAATAACAATCATTCAATTAAGCAACACATGAGAGATATCAATGCATATCTATCATCTAATGCGTCGTCATGCATTCACCTAGGAGATCTCCCTAACAGCAGAGCAGTATAAGTGACATCCCAATCCTACTGAACCCACCCCAACCGTTTTCATGCCCAATGCGCCCGCTCGGTAACAACTAATCAGGATATAAATCCTCACTCGGGTTTACTTGGATAATGTCACTTACACACTTGGAAGTCCGGTTCCACTGTCAGGTATAGCACAGCTAGGGACAGGCTTACCACGACCTTGACATTCATTACCAAGTCACTTGTGGAGTTCGCCCACTGACTATCCGCAAGGAACCACGCACTTTCCTCAGTACTTGGTTAAGGAAATAACCATCGACCTCATATCCCGCTCCAACACTAGCTAAGGACTTAGAGGAGACTCACCCAAACTAGTGGCCTATCCAAGCACCACTCTCACCCAAAATCAAAGGCCTATCTAAGCACCACTCTCATATAAATCAGTGGCCTATCCAAGCACTACTCTCAAGAGACTTTATGTGAGCTCTTTCAGTTCGAAAATATTTTCCCTCTCTTCAAGTCCTAGGCTAGACACATGCCATAAGGCATCACATGCAATAATGCATCATACATCATACATGGTCAATCCACCATCATGATCAATATCATCTTCATATAAACATATAAACATGTCATATCATATTCAAACGTTCATATATATCATTACCAAGCATACATATGAATCATACATTACCATACATCATATATCATACATACATGATCCAACTTCAACCTCAAACATGCAAAAGCATCATTTTCAATCAAAATCATTAAGCATATATTCACGCTAGGCGCAATTAGTTCGCGCCCAGCCTAAATCCAACCCTAGAGCTCTAAGCTCTTCCATGTCAGGCGTCATTTAAACAGAGACTCACAAGAGTCTCCACACCTGGTGCGCCCACCTTGCGCCCGACATCATCTAGACAAAGACCTCTAGAGGTTTCCACGCCCGTCGCACCTACCCTACGCTCGACGCCAT